CCCCCCAGTAGCCAGTTCTTTTCAGGCGACCTGCCACTACTGTAAAATTGCTGAAGTATTTTACCTAAAAACAGATTCAATTATTTGTGGGACATACATACACAAAAAATACAACTTATCTCCACAGTAATATAAACATTTCATTTTTTTGTTAGTAAAAATAGCTACCATTTCATGAACACGTATGTGCTAGGTACTGTGTGAATGCTTTACATATATTATCCTACATAATCTTCAACAGTTAAAATTGGCAAGATGTGTATTTTTATTATTCTAACAGATGAGCAGGCTGAGGTTGAAGGAAATTAATTTATCCAGGGTCTCAGAGTGGAACAGTAGGGCTGGGATTCAAACAGTGGGTCAAAATGGCCGAGGGTATATGAGAGCAGGGGAGGCAGGGAACCGTGATACTGTGTATTTCAGTCCCATCCCAGCATGCCTTAAGAGAGCCATGGTTACTTGTGGTATTTTTGTCCTATTCCAGCGTGTGTCTTATTGAGTCCAGGGAGTAGGCAACATTGAGACTCAAAATATATAGCTTGTCTTCCAAATAGGACTAATTTTATTCTCTGAACTCTTTACTGATAGATATTTTTAAAGTATCCATTCTGGGCTTTCAGCCTCTTTCATACCCAGTTGTACCAAAGCACTGTAAACATATAAAAATTGCTGTCTCTGGTTATCTTTTTTTCATTTGTGTGGCTTGTTTTTTTGTTTTTGTTGCAAGTCTAGAAAATATGTTTGTATTACATGTACACATACACACACATGCACATGTATACATATATATAGAGAGAGAGAAATAAAAATGACTTATTATAGAAAACTCGGAAAGCACCAAAAAAGCACAAAAGAAATTAATCTCCCATAAAATCAAATATTTAACCACCATTAACATTCAGTCTGTGACTTTACAGTGTTTTAATGCGCATATCTATTTTTTTTAGGTACCAAAATCATAATCTGTATGGTACCCTTACTTTTTCTTCATTTACTAATAGATCATGAATATTTTCTCACGCTAATATTCTTCCACTACCTGATTTTTTGGGAGGAACCTGATAGCCATCATCCAAATGTGCTAAAATTTACCTAAATGTGTTGAATTTACCTAAATTTAGCTAAGTGTGCTAAAATTAACCTGTATTTGCCTATTTTGTTTGTTCCCATTTTTTTCCCTAATGATTTCATATGACTTCTATTGTTGGTATTGTAAAAATCCAAAAAAAGGGGTATGAATTAATTCCTGGACATTAATGTCTATGTGAAGGTTAACTTTGGGATTATTTTCACTCAAATTGTTAGAGAATTTTAAGACCTTAGTAGAAGAGCATTGAGCAGTCACCTGGGGTAGCCTCCTGAAAGGTGAGCCAGCCTCTCTTAAATACGTCCATACTACTCAGCTCCTCTTTCTATGTTCTGACTTTGTATGTTCCTATGGACATAAGGAACTAGATTCTGACAAATAGATTTTGAAAGTTGCTTCCGAAACCTTTAGAAGCTGTACTTCAAGATCAATGTGATTTGAGAATCTGGAAGGAAGTTAGAGGCAGGGTAGCAGGCAAGATAGCACGGAATGCTGGCCTAGCTAATAGAAGCCAAATAATTATTACAGACTGGCAGAGAGTGTTCTCTGATTTGCAAGCTACAGTTATTCTAATTGATTTCTGCATACTTGTGGATAGGGATCTGCCCTCTTCCATTTATTTTTCTCTTGACAAGTAAGATGTGAAATGTTGTTCCATGCCTTTCTAATTTAAACATTGCACATGTTGAGAACTGATCTTGCCAGCCATTTTTAAGCCTGGCCAAAAACATAACAGATTGTTGTTATTAGCCTTCGTCATCTGGTTAGAGCCAACATTTTGTTTGGAACTATACCGGAGTATAAATCTCCTTTATAGGCATAACCTATTTCTGCCATCAAGCAAATTCAATGAGAAGGTAACTGAGTGTCCTTGGTGAGTTGCTCTGGTTAGCATCATGAGGCTGATTAGAGCAAGGATGCTCATTTTGAGAGACTTCTTAGGAAGCGAGATTCATGTTCTTGAGGATCTTATGATTCAGCTGAGGGAAAAGATGCACAAATAACTAATACAAGGCAATGTATGAAAAGTACACATACACAAAGATCAGAGGCTGCTTAGAGGAACAACAAAGCATTACCTCACGGCCTTATTTTAGGGCTGTGGACGATGATGTCCTTGAGGCCATATGCAGCACATTGAGCCTGCAAGCTGAGTAAACCATCTGTCTCACACACATGTGTACTATTTTCCAAGTATATTTAGATGCTCTGATGGCCAGTGATGCTTTTAAATGAATTCCTGTTTTATTACATTTATTGTAGCTTTTTGCCATATTATATATTTTCAGTCAATACTATAATAATAATTCCTACCATAGGTGTCTATAAAATTTTTTCATGTTAAAAATTATTTTAGTTACTTGAAGATTGGAAACTTCCATTGTCTACAGCAGTGCTTTCCCATAGAACTTTCTGTGCTAACAGAAATGTCTCTGCGTTGTCCAGTATAGTAGTCATTAACTACATGCCTCACTTGAGGACTTGAAATATGGCTAGTGGAACTGAGAAACTGAATTTTTTATTTTATTTGATTTTAATTGATTTAAATTCAGATAGTCACATGTGGTAGAGGTTACCATATTGGATAATGCAGATCTATTATATCTATTCTAATTATAAAATTATATAGGTAATTTTCTACACCCCATACACACAAGTTTTCTCTGCCCTGCCCCCTCTGTTTCAAGTCTACCCACAAATGTGGGCCTACCCACTTCTTCTCAGAGGCCCCTATTCCTGAAGGTTCCTTAGGCCAAGAGAAGAGTTCTCTTATAGATGCTTAATGAAATGACTTTGAAAGACTTTCCTAATCATAGAAATAAAAGGAATGGTAGTTTATACTTTTCTTTCAGCCACCATCTTATTCTCAGGGACTTGAAGAGATTTCTGTATACCTGGGACACATGCACTAATGGTTTTCATATTTAGTTGTTTCAGAGTTCATACAGCATGTTCTTTCTTTAAAAATTGACTATTTGGTAGGCAGGGTAGCTATAAATAATTATTGGAAACTCAAAAATAAAGCCTTACTCTAGGGCTTTTACTAGGCAAGAACATTTCCCTGTCCTTTGTTCTCCTGATGATTATTAAGAGTAACTGAATGATCTTTCTTCTCTTACTCTGAAACAATTAATACAATTTATAGCACTTAACAGGTTATATGTCTTTCCCATGACTCATTGCCTTGGAGTCTTTTAAGATCATCATGGGCGGTGGCAACATAGAGTATAATCGCTTCGATTAAGGTAACAAGATCACGAGAGGATAGTCAAATATCTCTGAACGTAAAATTCACCCTTATATTTATATTATGGTTGCTATTCATTATAAATGTAGTGCTGGTTGGATTACTAGGTAACTCAAAATTGTAATTTTTCCCAAAAGGTTTTTGTTCTGCACTGTTTTAAAACAAGATGAAGGAGGAAGGCAGTGACTTGTAGAATTCAAAAAGGGATCTGACCAAAAAGTCCTTTTGGAACTCATCCTTGAGGAGTTCCCATTAGAGTAATCACCACCTTCATGGAATGGTCTGGGAAGAGGCCTTCCAATGGAGGTCTTTCTGTCGACAGAGGGCCCTCTATTCCCACGCTCCCCACCCCCTCACCGCCAAGTGTGATGGCTATATCACTCTTCTCTGCTGCACTCTCGATAGGCTCTCTCACTTTTTTGAGGCCTGGGGCTTGGAGATTTTTTTCAGATACCAGACCCAGAGTGAGGAAAGTTGCATTTGCTGAACCAAGAGGCCAGTGTGTGTCCTCCTGGTTCCTGCTAAGCAAGTGCATCCCGATAGCAGATATGCCAACAGGAGAGGAAACTTAAAGGCACCTGCACGCAGTGTGCAAAGCACATAAAGCCACATGAGATAACAGAACACGGAGAGGTGTACCATGATCTCCATTCTGTGTAGCAGGATTCTTCCATTCTTCACCCTCTCATAGATGAATCTTCAGGCAATTGTTTCTGACATTAAAACTGTTGAACATCTCTTCTCCTAGACTTCCTTCTGCTGTGTTTGTCCCATTTTAATTAAACACATCCCTCCATCATCCGCTAATCTCCATTTTAAAGGAGATGCATGGGTTGTTGTGATGGTGGTTGGTGGTGATGGTGTGTATGTATGTGTGGGTGAGGAGTGAAGCCCAGGGAGAAGCCCGCCAGCAAAAAGAAGTTAATGTTTGCAAATATAAAATACCACCCTAAATTTGCTTCCCTTTCTATTCGGTAGTAAACACCAAAGAATCCATTCTGGCCCTGTGCTCCCATCTCCTTCGTAGAAGATAGGAATGAAGAGGCATAAGCTGAGGACCCTTCAGTCTTTGGGAAAGGATCTAAAAGAACAGTATAGTTTGGGGTCTGTACTGCTCCCCTCCCTGAGGTCTTCCTATGCTCGGGCTGCCACATCTCCTTCCTCCAGCATCTGAACAGCAAGGGGTGGCTCTTTTCACAGGACCAGGTCCTTCTCCTTGGTAAATCTGTATAGAAAAAAATAATGGGCAGCACTAGTCAGTCTCAAGTCTCTCTAGTATAGTGGGTTTAGTCTTATGACTTCTTAACCTTCCTGTGCCCATTTTATGTATTTTTGTTTCTGGTTACAAAATTATACCAACTTTATTGTGTCTTCTAAATTTTCCATTTTGCTGTTTGAGTCTATATATGTTTCGCTGATTAGAGTATCTTACCCTGAAAGCCTCTGATCTCCACTGTAGGAAAGTAGTAGAAGGCTAACTATCTATTAGCAAGCTTTGGGTTGCTGGATATTTTAGTAATTACCTTCAAATGTACTAACAAGGTTGCAGGTTTGATGAAATGCTTATGAGTGGTGGCTTTAGGGAAACCAACCTCTCTATTCTCAATATTGAATTCCAAATTACTATGTTTTAATGCATCTGTCTCCTGCCTTTTTTTATTTCAGTACCTCCTAGAAATGAAAAGCTTAATCCTCCCCCCAGAACATATCCTGAAGCGAGGGGACAGTGAAGCAATAGCGTATGCGTTCTTTCATCTGGCACACTGGAAGAGGGTGGAAGGGGCTTTGAATCTTTTGCATTGTACGTGGGAAGGCAGTAAGTAATTTTCTTTCTTTGAAACGTTTTTAAGAGCACAGAAAGATGCTAAAACTGTTTTTATCCTGAGTGTTCATGATGAATAATGATGATTTGCATATCTATAGCTCTTCTTCCCTGAAATGTTCCATCATGAGAGATGATGGTTAATTACTGAGACTCTTCAGTTCCCCAGTGGTGGTGGATGATACTGTGATGCCATCCCTATACCTCCAAAAAGCAAGTTTATGCAGTGGACGGGATGAATCTGGACTGTTCTGGCAGAGGAGCACTCTATAACTGGAAAACCTTCCTTGGGGACCTGGGCACCCCCTCAGCTTCATGGGAATCTTTGGCGTAGGGCTTGGCCTCGTGCTAGGCTCCGATGACTACTTCTAGATGGCCTTTCTGGGAGGACTGGCTGAAGAGCCACAGTTATCCTCCACTGGAGCTAGGGTGGCCAAACAAATGAGCAGCAGTTATACTTCAGAACAAGAGCAGTGACCACAGGACCCTAGTGTTGGGTGGCAGGTATAGCATTTGTATATTGATGGATAATGCCTGTTTGGTGGATGTGGGGATAATCAGTCTGAGCATGTGCCAGGTACTATCCTTCTGTGTAAGGAGAGCAGACTTCAGTTGCGGGTGAGACATGCTCCCTGTCCTGGAGAAGCATCTTGTCTAGTTGGAAGGAGTAACCAGCATGCAGCAGCTGCTCAGTGATTTTTCCAAAGGGAGAGGTCAGTGGGGTGGAGCAGTCATGGGTGACTTTATGGGTCATAGGAGATTTGAACCAAGCCATGAAGAACTAGGACAGTGTCATAAGCAAGGACACTGTGCAAAGTGGTGGGGCTGTTTGGAAGAATGTAAATTGAGGGAAAAGGCCCAAAACTACAGATTATTGGACAAAATGGGTGTTGACACACTGTTACTAGTTAAGCAAAACAAGTACAACATGTAGTGTGGGGTGTTTTTTTTCCCCCTCTCATAGGGAAACAAAACAAGTATTAGTCTTCTGATAATTTTTTCTTAGTTCACTCCTACTCTGATCAGCTTCACAAAGGAATGTCTTTTTAATCCCTTTCACTCTGTTTATCTTTGCTGCTTCCATTTTCATTTTGATAATCTTCTGCTCTTCCCTTTTCCTGCCCTTCCCAAACCCAGCAGGAATCCAAATGGATGCAGGAAGGGGGGTGGGGGCAGCCAAATGGAATGGGGTAAAAGTAAGTTGACAGAGATGGGACTCAAGTTGCTTGCAAGATTTTTGTTGAGTTTTGAAAATATTGCTTTCGAGAATTTCTAGTGAGTTTACTTAAATAATTTACTATTTATAACTTGAGGGGCGTTGACTTGGTTGATGCTTCCACCCCCACTCCATTCTGTATAATAAGCTACTCCAGGTGCCCTGGTCTTGTTTTAAGACAGCACATTGTACTCAGGGCATGTGTGGGCTCGTGTAAAGTCCCTGTTGGCTTGGTTTATTGTTGCATTTAAGGTGTTCTACCCAAAAAAGACAAAAGGAATTTTTATTTAAACATGAAAAAGAGATCGAAAAAGCCCAGCAAGATTGAACATGAGAGGCCTCACCTAGGGTTAGTTGTGGAAAAAAATGACATGGATAGATTGGCTTACCAAATAAAGACATATTTATAGATTAGCATTTTGGAAACCTAACAAAAGAAGCTTACCAGTTGGATCTGATTGATAAGAAAGTTACAGTAATATAGAAAGGATCAAAATAGGCTAAAAGTTACAAAGACACGGTGTTAGGAATGGCATAACCATAAAAAAAAATCCCATGAGGAATAACTAGAAATTTTATTTGGAAATTAGTTACCCATATAATCAGATACCAGTGGGGGTGGGGGGAATGCCCTGGATCAACTGGGAAGAACAATGGGATTTGAACAAATATGAAGTGACTTAGTGAGCTCCGAAATCTACCAGGGTGGTAATGTTGGGGGAATATAATTAATTACCTCAGATTAGATGGGCAGAATGAAGAGAGGAGGTGAATTTTTAGACATAAACCAGTATAGCAAGACAGTCAGGGACCTCAAGGAAAGGGAAATTCTGCATTTGAACCTTACAGATAAATAGAAACCACTCCAAGGAAGTTATACTACTATTCAGTTTTTGGAAAGAAAGCTATACCTCAATTCTAGACAAGAATAGTGAGAGTGCTTCGTAGGCACTAAGTACCTTGGAGAGTGTGTGTATAAGTGGGTAATTTACTGAGGGTTTGCATGTCCGTCATTTCATATACTCTTCCTGACAACATTCTGATTTAGACAGTTGAGAGGTGGCCGCCTCCGTTGTTTAGGAGAGGAGGAGTCATTGAGACCAGCAGCTTGTTTCAAGTTTTGCAGACACTGTTGGTAGAGCCAGGATGTAAACTCAAGTTCACTTTCTCTTCAGTCTTCTTTTCTATAATACCGACTATTTAGACCTTTCCTGAATAGATTAAGCGTAAGAAGATCGCTTCTCTCTGAAACATTTGCTTGGAAGCCTTCAGTTTACACTACTACTTATAGGCTCAGGTGTATTTATTCCTCTTCTAGTGTTTAGAAAGTTAATCTTTCTATATGAAATTATATTTTTGATGGTGAATATTGACTTAAACATTTTAAATATAGAATGAGCCCGATTTTATAAAAAATCAAATAATTCTACATATAAGCAAAGGAAAGAGACTGGAAATAAATATACCTTTAAGTGGATTTTAAGAGATTTTCTTTTTTTCCTTCATGTTTGTATTTTTCAAATTTTCTCAACAAGCATACAGATTTTTTCTTTTTAAGGTTTTTATTTATTTATTTGACAGAGAGAGAGACGGCGAGAGAGGGAATACAAGCAGGGGGAGTGAGAGGGGGAGAAGCAGGCTTCCCGCAGAGCAGGGAGCCCGATGTGGGGCTCAATCCCAGGACCCTGGGATCATGACCTGAGCCGAAGGCAGACGCTTAATGACTGAGCCACCCATGTGCCCCACGTACATATTTTTCTACAAGCACAAATATTATGTGTATATCTGTATATACATATATTTATAAAAATGATGTTTCCGTACAAAGTTTTGGTCATTTTTAAAAGCAAAGCTATAAATCTCTCATGCAGTTTAGAAGAAAGAATGACCACTTTAACTTCAAACAATCACGTGTAATCTTTTGACATCACTTCTAGATCTGTGTCCATTCTAGGTTAAATTAAATGGAGGCATCTTAAATAGGAAGACTTGGATTACAATTCTGAGTTGGCTATTTATAGTGGTATTGACCTAACTTACCCAGTTTTTGAAAACTGTGAATCACAGATGATACTGAATGCCATTGCCCCACCCCAGATTGTCGGGCTTCAGGGCCCTTGCGTTGAGACAGCTACAGCGGTGAAGGGCTCCTTCTCCCTTCAGAGGTCCCCTGGACATCCTGTGCCTGAGCGCAAGAGGCTGCACTTCCTCCAGTGCACCACGTGGTGGCGCCTTTTGACATTGCCAGCGTCATAGTTTAGGTTTTGTCCTTTATATCTTTTTTTGTTCGTTCTGAAATTTAAGGCCATTCCCCAACTCCCTTCCAACTTCCCCTTTTCATTAGAAAGGAAATTCAGGGAGGAAAGTAACAGTACCTAATTTCACCAGTTCCCATGTTAAAAATGAGTATTCTTTTAGTTAATTGATCTTTCGGAGATTAAAAAACATTCTTCTGTCAAAAGTGTTGGTTTAGGAGTGGCGATAGAGATATATTTTTCTTTGCTTTTTAATGAGTTTATTATGTTGGAGCATTAGTCATCTTGTGGAATTAAGTGAGGTTCCCACCAATCAGGCTGAAATAACTCACATTTTTGATAAAACCCCAAAGTCCAGCTGATGCATGGCAGAGATTGTTTGGGTTTGAAACATATGGTGGTTAAAAAAACAAAACAAAACTTAGTCCTCAACCACAAATACATCAGCATTTCAAAGGTTTCTAAAATGTTTGATTCATCACTGTCCCAGCCCCTGAAATTACACAATATGTTCCTCAAAGTCAAGATAATCAAGAAAGGGGAAAAGTTTTAATTACAAGATTAAAAAATACATTTCTTAGTTCATTATACAGCTGCCATCTTATCTGAATTACACTTATTTTAAACACTGTAGGTTCTGGTTATCCTCACACACACACACACACATTACTGCAAGTATGAGTTGAATATACAAAACCTATATAAATGAGCAATCTCATTCATACTGGGTCTATTTACCACAGTGTTGTGCCTTATGGGGCTCTATTTTAAATGGCACATCTTCTGTTATACCTATATTAAATACTGATGTGGCCTCATCTCCATCCTACCTCGATCTTTTCAAGCTCATTTTGGCTGTATTTATTTTATAAAGCAGGGTAGTCTGCTGACCGCAGCTGTGAACTTTAAGATTTAATTTTCTAGTTCTATATATCAGAAGACAAGTATACCATGGGGTAAATCACTTAGCCTTTCTTTGTTTCCATTTTTTTCCTCTTGACCAAGTAAGACTCTTTATTTTCTTTTTGGAGATTTTTTTCCCCAAAGAATTCACTAAATAATGTATAAGAGTTGAAGATGGTGTGTTTTAGGGGGACGAAGGCAGAGTATTTCCTTTGAGAGGAGAAAATGGCCCATTGTTGAAGCATAGGATGAAATTCTGATTCTAATTTATTCTCTTTGAACCCGATGGCAAATGTTCCTTGCTGTAAGATGTGGTCCTTGGGGCATTTCCACTAACCAGACCTTTCCTCTGAAGGACTGGCACCTTTTGGACTGCTAAAGAGAGATTCCCCCATCCCTCACCCCATAGATCTAATGCTAAATTTTATAATTTGGGAGAAAGCAATGGTCTGCTAAAGTTCCTGGTCATAGCTAACTTACACTAAAAGCCAGACTCCAGGTATCGTGTAGTGCCTCCCCACCTACTGCCCAGTAGGACCAGCTTGTCCCTTTCATTATTCCAACGTGGTGACTGACCATAATTTGGATCCACTTGAGTTTTTAAAAGTTGCCTCTTCCTGATTGTGCATTAATTCATGTATTCCTTTATTCGGTGAACACATACCGAGTCCCTCCTTTGTACCAAGCATTATGTTGGAGATAAAAGGATGAATAGTACTCTGAAATGCTTTGAGATAAACATTGTGTGTGCATATACACGCACACATCTGTTCATATATACGCACATATATGTACATTAGCACACACATCTATATGATGTGTAGTGTGCATACAATCAATGCTATCACGGAAGTAGGAACAGAGTGTTAGAGTGTTGAGGGTCGACAACAGGTTGGTGAATCTGCTATAATACTCCAGAATTTCTCTTCAGAATTGGAATGGTAGATCATTGAACCAAGGGAAAGTGATTATCCCGAGACCACAGAGCTAGATAGTGCCAGAGTATGGATCAGCACCCCGGGCTTTTGACTTTAGAATTTTTTATTATGGTGCTCAAATGCCTCACGAAGGACAAATAGCACTTATGGCCAGTTACCTACTTTACAGTCAAAGGTGAAAATGTAAAATTTGTTTTGATGATAATTTTCTGTTCTATCGTTTGCACTTCTGGTTATTTATAAACAAGCAGCATTTTTACTTATAAGCAAGAGTAGGACCTGATCAAGAAAGTAGGAACTGTGGGTTTAGTAGAAAGGGAATATAAGGAGAAAACTAACTTTTATTGAGCCATCAGGCCCCGTGTTTAACACCTTAACATCTGCCACACTTAGTTCCTTTAAGCTTCTCAGGGTCTGTAGTATTCTCATTTTTACAGACAAAGAGATGGGACACAGACTAATGACCCATCCAGGCATATAGTTTTTAGCTTGGTCAAGTTCGGCTCATTGTTAGCTGTCACCTCCACTGCTTCTCCATTAGATACACACAGCACGGAGGTGCTATGGCAGGGAAATCTTCCACACAGATTTTCATGATTATTGGATCATCCGTCTCCTGCAGTAGGCCGTGAGCTCCGTCAGTGCAGGGACAATGTGTGGCTATGCCTGGTGCATGAGGAAGGCACTCGCATTTTGATGAGGTGGAGCTGGGATTCAAATGCAATTCTTGCTATTACAAGTAATCTATATAAAGTTCTCTGAGATCCTCTTTGAAAAGGCAACATAGGGGCGCCTGGGTGGTTCAGTTGTTAAGCGGCTGCCTTCGGCTCAGGTCATGATCCCAGGGTCCTGGGTTCGAGCCCCGCATCGGGCTCTCTGCTCAGTGGGAAGCCTGCTTCTCCCTCTCCCACTCCCCCTGCTTGTATTCCCTCTCTCGCTTCTCTCTCTCTCTGTCAAATAAATAAATTAAAAAAAAAAAAAAAAAGAAAAGGCAACATAGACAAAATATCACATATTATCTTCTATCCTTGTCTATATAGTGGGTAGGCTGAGAGGTCATTAGAAATCACTGGGAAAATAGGGAATTAGTTTGTTCCTGTATCCATCCTTCTGTCTCTTCTTTGATTCTCTTGATTTTTTTCTCCAGTGTTAGTTTAGGGTCTCTGGTGAGCCCGGCACTGACAGGTGTGGAGCCTAGAAAACGTGTCTGGTCAGGGAAAGGAGATGGCATTGCAGTGCCTCAGACTTCACTGTGGGGGTCCTCTGTGGTCATAACTGACTCCCGGTTTCATTTTGCCCCTTCCTCAGCGGCACAGCAGAAGTCAAGGTAAGGGAGGTGACGGCACACAGAGGAAAATGCAGAAACGCCGTTCGTGTCCCATGCATTCACTTGGAGCGGCCCAGCTTTTTTGTTTTGTTTTTAACCAAGTGCATGTATATTTTTAATTCTTCTGAAATGTATGTTTTTCCAGACAAAGATTTTTAGGAGGTCTGTAGTCATTCATGAAATAGATGAAATTCATAAAACAGATGCCCTTTTTCCCCTTCTCATTTGCACCATGAAACCCATGTGTTACTACTTGCGCTTGCAAAATTTCTGGACATTCAGCTAAAGCTGTGAGGTTCTTGTGGAGCAGCTACATGTCTTTTCAGTGAGAGGGATCAGGAGGTGGGAGGTGAAGCTGGCGAGGTTTCGGCAGTGTTCTTCCTGTTCCCTCCAGCCCTCCACCGCTTATCTCCCCCTCTGCTGGACCCTGCACAGCAGGGTGGGTAAAGGATAGAATTGCAAACAGAAATTGCATTTGCTTTTGTTTAGTGAAGCCAAAAAGCTTAATCTTATTTTATGAACTCAATGTAAATGACAGCTGACATGAGAAAGAGATTTTAAGAGCACCGTAAGCATCTTTTTACAGTCATGGAGGTTGCCATGGGGGGCCGGGGGAGGACAGTGCAGGAAGACTCTGTGTGTGTGTGTGTGTGTGTGTGTGTGTGTTTAAGTTGTATAGAATCACTGTCTCCACCCTCTCCAGAAAGACCAGAACTGATTAGAAGAAAAAGACTAACTTGATGCACAGAATTCTGTATGCATGCCAAATACTGCTGCAAAAAAGATTTGGCATCTGAGTGAAAAGACACCAACCGACCATTAGATTTCTATGGTTGAACACTCTTAAGATCTTACTCTCCTATATTTCATTTAAAAAATTGCTCCCCGAAGTGCAAACTGACTTCAATTCTGAATAAAATTTAGCATTCAAATTTATAGCCACTTTGAAAACCGAGGGTTTATTTCAATCATGTGAACCTGAACAGATTCTTAATTACAGCAGCCCTGTTGCACATAGGGAATCTGGGTTAAAAACAAAACAAAACAAAACTTCCACGTAGGTTTTTCCACATTTCTGGGATGCTTTCATAGCAGCCTTCATTTATGGGAAATGGTATTAAAATCCTGCCATATTGCAGTTTAAATTTAAACACACTGCTTCCCAGAAGAGATTTTAGTGTATCCTATAAAGACACTAAAAAGGGTTTGGGGGTTTTTTTTGTTATGTAATTTTTTTCCCTTGTCTTGCAAACCTATCGAGAGAAACTGGTTCCTTCCGTGATCTATGTGCGTTAACAACCTGTGCCGAGAGCACCCCTTGCTCTTGTTGCAGCGGGCAAAAGTCATCTTTGTTTGCATGAAAGAAAAGTCTGATTGAACTAGGGTGAGCCTTTCATTTTAAGAAGAGTTAAAGTCTGGGGTGTTTTTAATGTTTTAATCTCTGTTTAAGAGGTTTCTGTTACAAGAGGAAAATTGATAACATTTTTACCTCAGCAAACTGCCAGCAAACTGGCTCTGCTCTAATCCCACGTTGATAGTGATTTATATTCTCCATGGCAATGTGCTCTAACGTCAGAGTGAGACCACTGTGCTGCGGACGGACTGCATTCCAAATGCTGGAATCACATACATAATGTTTTTACTTTTAAATAATATTCAGACACCAGAATAAATACCATATGTGCACTGATGCTGGTTACAATGGAACCTTGTCATGTCTTGTGAGGGAGAACATTCTTTGTTTCTGATTCCTGTTTGAAATAAGTATGCAAAAGATAAATATGTGCATTGATGGCATTTTGAGAAGGCGTAGGTAATTACCCAGCTGAGGATGTAGCTCTGATTCCTTGAAATACAGCATTTAAGACTAAAGAGATTGTTGTGTGCGCCCCCCCCCAACCCCTCTTTGACACACACGAAGGCAAGGATCGTTACCTGATGTTGCCAGTGTAGGGTGCAGTTTTTATATTTTCTATCCACAGCGGGCTGTAGTTACAGGACATCTGTTGAAGAAAAATTACTTCGTGAGCACTGCGTTCATAGCAACAGTGAGACTAACATGCTCATGACATCGTAACAGGGGGAGTAACACATGTGATAATGGAGAGGGATGGATTGATTGGAAAACCATAATTCGGTGTGAGGCCTAATGTTATCTGAAGCCACAAAAGCAGAATTTAGGTGGCCTGACATCATCAAAACAGAGATAATCAATCTCTCCAGATCCATTTTTCCCCCCACATGATATTGAAGGTTGGAAAGTTTCATATAAAGTTTAGAAATACCTCCCGAGTCCTGCATTTTTAGATTTTTGTTTTTGTCCATCTTGGTTGGAATTCTCATCCACCTAGACATATTTTTTTAAATAGACATGGCAGAATGCCTTTCATATTTGTACATCTGTAACAGGCTTCAACAAGTCAGTTCACATTTGCTTCTTGGGGAAGCATTTCAATCCAGGTTTGTGTTCTTACCATCAGTTGAGCTATATTGAATTTCTGCTCATGACATTTTAATAATACTTTATAGATGAGGAAATCCTGGGCATTGAACTGATGGCTTCCCTCCTCCTCTGCACCCCATCCCCACCCAGTTTTGTGAGGTTTGCCCAGAATATATAGTGTGAGATTAACGTGTGAGTCATACATCATAACGCATCTCCGACAGTTTATCTGCACATAACTCAGAGTTTGGGTAACTCTTGCATCCTTTCTGGGAGTTCCTTGCAGAACTGTTTACCATTATAAAAATGCTCTCAAGCCTGTTTTTGAAACTGAGAAGTTATGAGACAAATATTGAACTTCTAACATACTGTCTCTCATTTTCAGCTTTTCGGATGATCCCTTATCCCTTGGAAAAGGGGCATCTGTTTTATCCTTATCCAATCTGTACAGAAACAGCAGATCGAGAGCTGCTTCCGTGTAAGTCTCACTTCTGTATTCCTCTCTTTGTGCCTGAACGTGGGGATGGGAAGAGGTGGGAATGATAAATGTTTGTAATGTTCCTTGTCTTTTATTACTCTTCTCCCAAACCCTGTCCTTATTTGCTGGCATGTGCATTAAAGTGAGTTACGTGAGTGGGTCTGGCATCCTGCTCCTCCAAGGCTCTGCAGATTCCTCACAGGGAAAGACCTCCAAGCCCTGAAATTTAGATGAAGAGGCACCGTGCGCTGGTTGGCCTGAGCGCAGAGACCACTAGTTTGGGGTGGGTGTTTGAGGGCTGGTCCCCTGTGCGTGGTTCTGCCCGAGCTGCCCAGCCGCTCGGATGCACTCCGCACAGACTGGAGTGTGAAGCGGAAGTGCTGCCGCCAGAGGGGCTGCAGACGAGTCAAGGATGGGAGGGCAGCGCCGGGACGGGGGCGTCATTGCCGGAGGCGGAGGCGTGGGGCCGGGTGGGCGTGCTCTCAGCGGCGGCCGGAGGGGTTTCCCGGGAGCCCCTCGTGGTCGCACGTCATGAGCTGGCGTGGCATGAGCAGAGCACACGTGAGCCTCAGCACTGTATGCGGCAGGAAGAGGGGGAGCCCTGCCCTTGCGACCCTGACGAGCTAGCAGTCTGATAGCCCGTGCCGCGCGTGCGAAGTATGGTTCGGTTTGCTGTAATACAACATTGTTTTGACAAGTCCTGCTAAGTAGCTATTGTCAAATCATACTGTATGCAGGGATCATGTCCAGGCTCTTCGGGTAGCCCTGACTTAGGACATGCTTTTCTCTCTCAGATACTAAGCCCCAAATTTTGGCTAGTCTCTCTTCCTTGTCCTCTCTCCTGCCACCTCCTCTCTTTGACCGGCCCCAGTTAAATCCTGTCTCTAGCTCCAAGGGATAGGGTAAGTCTGGAGCCCTGGGTGCATAGTAAATGGTCCAGTGCCAACATTATTGAGCCTGTCCTGTCTCCGGCGTGGTGGGATCTGGGTGCAGCACGAATTGCTGTCTCAGACTGAAGCAGCAGGAGGTCGCTCCCTTGTTTCCTCGCTAGCCAGAGGCCATGTCCTATTTGTTGCTTAGGGGTCTGGGAGAGCTCTGTGATGTGTTGTTGCTCCTTGCCCGAGTTTTATTGTGAAAAAGGGTCTGGTGCCTCACACTGCGTTAGATTCGATTTCAGAAATTCCTGTTATGGGCCCACGCTTTACCTTTGGACTCCCGCTTCAAGGAGATCCTTGTTAAAATTTGTTTCTGGTAAGAAAGGCAGTTTTCTGAAAAGCACAGTTTTAAAATGTTTTAATTGAGTCCAATTAAGTTTCCATGGGAATAGATTCACTTTTAGAACAAGATTACAGCTCTTAAAAGAAACTTTATAGGAATAATCTTTATGAACCCGAAGTTGAAAATTATGACTCTCAGTTATTTAATTGAATGCAGTGGTCCAAAATCTGATCTCCCCTCACAATCTTTCGGGGGTTGGGTGTTGACAGCGAGGATGGCGTGGATACCAAGAGCACCGACTGTTTGGAATGCTCCCCACATTTTGCACATTCAGAGTCCCCTCGTCGGACATTAGGGCCAGAGTGTGCCTCCACCCTTCCTTCGAATCCCAGCAGGTAGCCGCCCGGATTCACGTGTGCAGGCTTGTCTCTGCTTTGTCCCTCCCTGCCCCTCTGCCCTCAATCTCAGGCCCAGCCAATTATTGTTTAGGGCTGTAAATAATGGGAGCTAAACAGTCGAGGAAAGGCCTTTAGATCTGGATTTCCACTTGGAACCTTTCGGTTCGAGAGGCAGTTTCACAGTCTCTCCACCACAGGCCAGCCCCAGCTCCCCTGGTAAGCACCCCACCGCCCGGGGGGTGGAGGGGCTCACAGCCAGCCAGCAAGCAGCAAGCGGGGAGTCCGCTCTCTTGGTGTTGGCGCCACCTGCTTTTTGGTTTCCCTAAGCCCAGCACTTGAAACTTTAAAGTTATGAAAGGTGTTCTGAAGAGCACCAGTTATTTATTTTTCTGGTGATTGTGAGATTGTTGGAAGTATGTTTATCATCAAGAGTCTCCTACAGTGGTGCCAGATGACCCCCGTAGCCTTGATCTCCAACCTTTGCAGGTTGAATTGGCCAGCATGTGAGGTCCTTGCTGAATGTCTATCAGGGTGGCTCCCTCCACCGACATACTTGAAGTGGCCAGGAAAAAATACAAGATAAACCAATATCACCTCATTATAATGATTACAAAATTACAGGAAGGTCAAAATCTAGAGAAAGGATTTTTCCCCCCAGTATATTTAATTCTGGATTTTCTGGGTTTTGCACTGTGAACATGTATTTTATAATGTGAATAAGGTTTTGTTTTATTTGTGTTCCCTTTTGAGAAAGCAGGACTATATATTAGGCAGAGATGGTGTTACTGTTCCCCCACAGATGTGCGACATCCTCAGATCAGCCCTATCGTGCTTCCCCCGTGGAGCACTAAAGCTCGACTGTGGCCTCGGGAGAAGCAGATAGGCAAGCCAGAGGCCGGTTCAGAGGGTGGCGCTGGTTCATTCAGGTGCCCTGCCCTTTGTGTTCCCTAGAGGCTTCAGTCACAGCTCTGCAGAGACCGTCCCACAGACAGAAATGCCCCAAGAACGCATTTCACTCTGACACTCCTATTTCCCTCTGGATCTTCTCCACAGCGTTCCATGAAGTCTCAGTTTACCCAAAGAAGGAGCTTCCCTTCTTCATTCTCTTTACTGCTGGATTGTGTTCCTTCACAGCCATGCTGGCCCTCCTGACACATCAGTTCCCAGAACTTATGGGGGTCTTCGCAAAAGCTGTGAGTATTTGCCAAGAGGGAGCCTGAGGCCAGGGGCCAGGGAAGCCAAGGGAAGCAGCGGGAGAGAAACGAAGGAGTGTCGTGTAGGAAAGGATGTGCCTGTATTGATCATTTGCTCACTGTTTAATTTTCGTCTTCATCAGTGGAATCCAAAAGTTGAAGGCCAGTGAGAAAGTGTAGGTAGTTTGTTAATGCATGCCTTGCCTCATTTCACACACAAAAAATCCCAGATTTCAACCAGGTATGAAGTCTGAAAGTATTAAATAAATAATTAAGGGAATCCTAGCAAATGAAAAATGTGTGGGAAATTGCTCCATTTTCTGTAAGTTGAACGACATTATTTCTAATCTTTAGATATTGTGGGTCTTTCCTTTAATAAAGACAAGATTTACATTTTCAGAGATTTAAATAAAAAATATTTTCATGGCTTCAAACTTTTGGCTTGTTTAGGGAATGAGCTGAGAGGTTGTGGAGGGCTTGTAGTGAACAAGTAGATTAAGAACTTTTGTTAAGTATACAGACATGACATTCAGAATATGGAAATCCAGTGAGAGCCTTTCAGGAGGGTTGAGGAATGAAGCTTTAATAAGAAAAGCCGTCTGCATTAACAATTGACAAGCAAGAACCCCTGTTTCCTGGTTGAAAACCAAGCGTTTTCAACGGCACGTGCAGGGAGGGTGGGCTTACTGATTTTGCCATTTGCCACAGATGACTTTCAAACAGAAGGAATAAGGAAAAGAGTGTCAGTTGTTTCCCTGGAACTCTATTCTGATTTCAAGGCGAGTGGAGTCAGAAAGGATGATTTCTAACTTGGCTGAGTTGATTTAATCCCTTTCCAGATGATTGACATTTTCTGCTCGGCAGAGCTCAGGGACTGGAATTGCCAGAGTATTTTCATGCGTGTTGAAGATGAACTGGAAATCCCACCGGCACCTCAATCTCAACATTTCCAAAACTGAACTCATCACCCTCCTTTCCCACCACCAAAACCACTCCTCCTGTATTCCTGACCTCCGCCCATGGCACTGCCATCCGCCCGGTTACTCAAGCCAGAAACGCAGCAGCCCTCCCGAGCTCCTCTCTCTCACTCCCCACATCTTACCTGTCTCGGCCTCCACAGCGTGTCGGGTCTAACCTCCTAAGCCACTGGGCGTTCAGTAAATGTAATTCACCTCTTCTTCCCCTCCTTCCCTCCCCATGGCCTCCTTCTCTTCATTTAGGTCTTGTTTTTTCTTGCTTGGACTCCTCTGCAAGAGTCTTAACTGGTCTCCTGGCTTCCAGGTTCATCCCCTGCCAGGCTTTCTCTCATACTGACACAAGAATGATCTTTCCAAATTGCAAGTCTGAGCATGTCACTTCCCTGCTTGAATTTCTCCAGAGGTTTCCCACAGACTTCAGGATAAAGTCTCAGCTCCTTAGCATGGTATGCAAGGCCCTTCATGATCTGGCCTTGCTTGCCTCTGCAACCTCATCTCTCCCAACTCTTGCACAGACACTGCTCTTAGGCCATAGTGAATTACTCACCACTCCCAGATGCCTAGGCTCTTGTACACCCCAGTGCCTTTGCACGTGCTGTTTGCTGTGCATGGAATGCCCTTCCCCGTCACCACCCCAGCTTGTCCACTCTACTAACTCCTCTTCCTTCTTTTATTCTCAGCTTTCTTTCTGAGTTTCTCCTAAGCTGAGTTAGAGGTCTCTCTTCTGTGATTCCACAGTATTCCATGAATACCAACATTATCACATTTATTGTACTATATTATAATTGTTGAAAACTTGTCTGTCCCCCTTTTAGAATGTGAGCTCCTTGAGAGCAGAACTGTGTCTTCCTCATCTCTGTATCCCCAAAGCTTTGCACAGCACCTTGCACATAGTAGGTTTTCAATAAATGATTATTAAATAAATAAATGGTAGTGGTTTCTGCAGAAAGAATCAATGTAAAAATCAGGTACAGTTTAGCATTTCTCCTCCTCTTTTGTAATTATAGTCATGGACTCTTAGAGTTGAAAAGGACCTTAAACAAATTGCCTTCAGCAGTAATGTGATGGAGGTCATCTAGACTCTTCTTGAATACTCTCAATGATGGGGAACTCACCTACTTAACATCAAAGCCCATTTCATTGTCCACTCTACTTCTTGCTTGGACTCCTCTGCAAGAGTCTTAACTGGTCTCCTGGCTCAGATGTCTTCTTTACACAATAAAATCGGCCTCCCTCTAATATGCACCTGTTGTTCCTGTTCTGCCCTCCAAAACTATACTCAACAAGTCTCCTTTTTGTAAATTCTTATGACAACTAATATATTCATGGCCACCTCTAACCTCTGACTATTGGTAGAACATCTCAAATTTCCTTAAGTCTTCTGTACATACCGTGATTTTTAAACCCAGGATGCTCTCTAGTTTATGGACCTCTACTATTCATTATTATACCCCCAAGCCAACCTCTGAGTAAAAATAGTTGCCAAAATTCTGAATAGATTAGAGTTTAACTTAGTAAAATTTAAAACAGGAATATATTTACAACATTAGACAATTATTCTTCCTCCTTTAAATGTTCCTCTCTTAAACAGTTTTTAAAGCATTTTTGTCCAAGTATGTCATTTTTCCAGTATTCTTCATTAAACAAGCAATTAACACTTGGTGGGAGTTTCGGATCAGAACAGACCTTTACATAAAATTCATTTGGCCCCACCACCAGAAATTCAGAATCTTGAGTGTTAGCACCCAGAAATCTGTGTTTTTAACAAGGATTCCAGCAGGTTCTGAGGATAGGGGTTGAGGACTGTATGTGCTGCTAAGGACCTGGTCTGGAGCAAGCCAAGCGTTTGAGCGGCCGCTTGCCGGAACGGGGCGCACTGCCGGAGCCGTTGAGGTGAACACTTTTTAGGCATCAGAGGTTTCCCCTGGCTGCACCTTGGACTGCTCTTAGGGGGCCTCCGAGTGACTGGTGGCTGCCCCCCTTCCCCCTTGGGGGATGCTGACTTCTGCAGCCTGGGGTACAGCCTGGGCATCCAAGTTTTCAGGTGATTCAGGTTTGCCAGGGCTGCGACCACCACATTGAATGGAAGGACGAATTGCCCGATTGGGTCTTCTCTAGGAAAGGCTCCACTGCCTCCAGAATTTCAGAGCGATGTGTCCATTAGGGATCATGTCATGTTTCCAAAGCTTTGGTTTTGAGTCTAGATCAGCTGATTGAATAAAATAATCAATTTGCCTTACCGCGCTCATTGCTTCTACTCTGCCAGGGTGTGGTTGTTTGGTCAGCTACTCATAATTTCCAAATATAGTTTAGATAAATTTGCTTTTAAACCTCTGTCTGGAAGATCACATTCATCTTGCCCTTCCTGAAGGTTTAACAGTTTTCAAAATGTCTAGAGAGCCTTCATGGGGAAGGAAGATGGATGGCCTGAAGGAGACAGGCCCCATCCCTCTCCTGCCCACCCTGTCCCCAGAGTCTTCCCCAAGTTTTCACCCGTCACTGCCGCAGGCCTTTCGAGAAGCCCCCTGCAGGTTATCACCGCCACCCCATAGGCTGCCCACAGCCATTTGCAGCTTGTGAAAATGACTTTCTCAGGCCTCGTGGAGATAATGTCCCTGGGATAATGACTCGTAGGAGATGCAGAGAGATTGCACTGCCACCCCCCAGGCTGCATGCAGCTTGGGAACTCTCCAGTCTGTTTATATGTTGATACGCAGCCAGTAAGGAAGCCCACAGCTAAGCGTGAGCCACTGGAGAATAGTAAAATGAGCAGCTTCAACTGGCTTCTCCCCCCCACTAATCTAATCTACCTCCATGACTTAAGACTAACTCTTCCTCGAATGTTTGGCTACCAAGATAAGGTTGCTCATATAAAGAAGTTATCATTTCAAACCCAGCCCCTCGCAGAATGTGGGAAGGTCAGCATTTTGACCCCGTCAGCTTTGAAGGGCTCTGTCTTTCCTCCTCTGATCTCTCTCCTTCACGGAGACTGAGCCTCCTGACTTCTGACTCTCGTCTTCACTTATAGGCCTTGACCTCTTTGAAGTCTGATATTGATTACAGTGAAATGTCAATTGTCTGATTGCAATAGGGCACCTGGAACTTATTCAGATAAGCAGAGGCATTTTGAATGTTAACGAAGCATGTTGGGAGCCATGACCTTCTCCTAAATAATGGTGTTTCAGGAAAAGGAGGACCAGGCGATTGAAGTGTCACTCTCTCTTTTTTATTAGTCCAGTTGCCTTTTCTCACCCTAAGGCACTGATTGAATCACGGTGCATCTTGGACCGTGTATCTCTGCCCTCTGGACAGAAGTTGTGGACATTGAGATAGATGAGCTGTTCCCGGGCTGCCTGGTCTTGCTCATTCAGACTTCACTTTTCAGGCAATAAATTTCCCAGGTCTGTGAGTGAAACTGCTGTTTCTCTGTGCATTGGTTGAGTCTCTGGCCCAAAAGTATTGACTGATTTTCAAACATGCAAAGAAGTATAAATGAACATCCTAAGCAAGGCACATTCCACCAAACATTTTTTTTTTTAATACCTTCTGATGAAAGCCACTAACCTTTATCTGGTTACTAAATGAGAGGGCTTATGGGCTTCAGATGCCTCATTGCATTGTCTGCTTCTTCCCTGTGGGTGAAGGATGAGGAAGAGGATGCACGGAGGGGTGCTAAGGAGGAAGGTAGCTTACTAATAAAAGGTGCATATCTCAACTCGGGTGCTGCAAGAGAATTAGGATCTTTAGGAAAAGTTTCTGGGGATTCTTTTCTCGATTCTCCCAAGGACAAAACACTCTAGATGTGAGGGAGAACAGTACATCGTCGCATTTATTGGAGGTGTTAGGACTTACTTCCTTTGTGGAACCTTATTGAGAAGTGCACGTGAAGTCCAAGGAGGCAGGGCCCGCTGTGACTTGTTGGGCAGTATGGGAAGAGGGGCAACTGCAGACATCAAACAGGGCTAGAGAGTCCCCTCTTGATTTTCAGAGGCCTCGCTTTTGTTCTTTTTATGCAAGTCAGGTCAGTGCCCAAAACAAAGCAAACAAACAGGCCTTATTTTGAACCAACTTTGTAACGACCTCTCCGTTCATTCTGCTTCCCAAGTTGAGGCTCCTTGATGTCCCCACATGTAGTGAATGAAATTGCACAGAATACAGACTTGGAGCAATGCCTTTCATCTAACTGCAGGGGCTCGGGCTAATTCGGTAGTTCCTTACCCACTCCATCACAGCTGCGATGGTTCTGAATCTGTTTTAGGTCAAGTCTTTAGGATATAATAACTCCACCAGCAATATCGCCTTGTTCAGTGAGCCCAATCTGACAACCCCTGTCAGAATCTCTGATTTATCCAGACTACTATAGCACCTACCTTCTCTTTACAGAACTAGGCAAATGCTGTGTTTTATGGAGCCTTGGTAGTCTCTGATTACAAACAAAATCTCGTAACTAGGATTTTAATAAACAAATAAGCAATCTTCTCATAACTAGGTTTACAAACTTTCTCAACAAGCAGCTTGGGCAGTAATTATTCATTTCTGGGCGATAGGGTGAGCATCCCATGTGGTTCTGTGCACACAACAAAGGACAATTTCAGGTTACCAGAAATTGACACATACCTAACACCCACTTGGCATAAGAGCCATCCACATTTGCTCAAGTACTAACATGGCTGCCTATTTCTTTTTTTTTTTAAAGATTTTATTTATTTATTTGACAGATTGATAGCGAGAGTAGGAACACAAGCAGGGGGAGTGGGAGAGGGAGATGGAGGCTTCCTGCTGAGCAGAGAGCCGGATGCGGGGCTCGATCCCAGGACCCTGGGATCATGACCTGAGCCGAAGGCAGACGCTTAACGACTGAGCCACCCAGGTGCCCCATGGCTGCCTATTTCTTAACTCCAAACCCAACTTGGCATTCAGGGCCCTCCCCAGAGTTCTTCTGGTCACTTTTGAACTATTAACTATTCCAGCTAAGCTGAATTACTTACTGCCTTCTGATCATACCACTTACTTTCCCATTTCTGTTCCAGCTGTTTATTGAGCCTGGAGGGCTCACCTCCTCATATTTCTTTCCTTCCCATCCTTACCCCATCTGTATGTTTTGATATCCCAACCATCCATTGTGGTCTATTTCACTTGCCTCATTTTAAGTTTTTCTTGCTCCTTTCAACAGAATGGATTCTCTCCCTTTTCTGAGTCCTCCTGGTGCTTTCTTTGGGCTTTTATCTTCCATTCTATGATGGTCTATCTGGTATCATTACTTCGCTGTGTGGAGGCCTTAGTGGCCACCTATCCCTTCCCCTTGACCCTGGGCTTTGAGCTTCCTGACAATGGGAGTTTTGTCCTAGACTCCTTTATATCTTATCCAACACTTAGGTGCCTTACAGAGCAAATATATTTAATTTATGTAAAAGACACAACATGGGGAAGGATTCCAAATATTATACTATCTTGAGTTTCCTTACACTAATGTCACACTTATTGGTCCAGCTATAATGTGTCGCAGATCTTACAATTAGTATTCTACTGGTTCTTTTTTTTTTTAAGGTTTTTGTTTATTTGTTTGACAGAGCACACACACGGATGAGCAGGGGGAGGGGCAGAGGGAGAAGGAGAAGCAGGTTCCTCACTGAGCAGGGAGCCCCATGCAGGACTCCATCCCAGAACCCCAGGATCATGACCTGAGCTGAAGGCAGATGCTCAACCGACTGAGCCACCCAGGCACCCCAGTATTCTACTGGTACTTAAAAACAACAAAGAAGGAAAGATTCTGAGGTCAAGTGAATTTTGAAACTTGCTTAGCATACCCCTTGAAGATCTGAAATCCACAGAACATACGGAGGAACCTCTCTTAACTTCATTAAATATACTATTACTTTGACCTCAGAACCATGGCCCCACCCCCCACCCCTATGTATTTACATACTACACTATACTCCTCTGGGAAATTCTTGATGGTGTAGACAATGTTTTGTTGAGAACAAGGGATTAGGACAAGACTCCATAGTGTAAGGACCAGGTGTGGAACCCTAGCAAGATAATACCTTGGTTCTGAACTGACAGAGAGCAAGGAAACCACCCAAACATCTCTCTCTCATGTGGAGCTCTGTTAGGGGACCTCTTCTGCCAGATGCTGGATGATTTGTGGAATGAAGCTAATTCTTCACGAGAACATAATCAGAACAAATTTGAGATGATGTTAAATGAGTCTCAGGCGAGGTACTTGGCACAGTTAATGAGCATTTTTCTCTACATGAGAAGCAGAAAGGAATTTAGAAACCAAATGAAAGAGATCCCAAAGATCTCCTCAGAGCAGCCCTTCTTCAACAAGGACATGCTATCCACAGACTGGCCAGTTTGCTGTCCTCCCCTGGGCTCCCATGATGCACTCCACTAAGCAGGTAGTTCAGACATGAGCATGGGTGACAGAGGCATTTGGGACACAATGGAATCCCAAAGCAATTCACAACCATATAACAAACTTGACTTTTTAAAATTGCCTTTTCCCCTTAAAGTGAGTTCTGTACCCAGCTAGGCAGGCAGGTGGTCTGAAGTGTCACAATTTTTTAGCTCTTCTGCCTACTTGTCACCCAACTGTCAGTCCCTTTTGATGGCACTAGTCATCTGCATGCACAGCCAGCAGATCCTGAAGACGGATCTGAAGGCCTGGGAACCGTGGGCCTGCTGTCAGGAATGAAGGGGGCAGTCTGCAGCCCCTTCTCCCGCTTATCTATCACAGCTGGGGAGCGGGGGCTGGAATGCAGGTGTGATCATCAACCTGTTTCCTATAACATAAATACAAAATTGTAGCCTTTGAGACTTTTATAATGCCAAGACTTATAGGTTGGAAAGGTTCGTTCTGTAGTCTTGAAAGATCTCTCCTGACTCTGTGCCTCTCTGTTTCTTTGCAGTTCCTCAGCACTTTGTTTGCCCCCTTAAACTTTGTCATGGAGAAAGTGGAAAGCATCCTTCCATCCAGCCTGTGGCACCAGCTGACGCGGATCTAGGGAAACCCACCTGTCCTTCCACTCCCCTCACCCAGTGGGCTGCCACCATCTCTTCGTGCCAACTCCTCGTGGACTGCAAGAAAGCATGACTCTGAAAAAGGGAAGCCATTCCGAGATTTTAAATTGTTTATGGACCGTCTGTTCCATATTAAAAGCTGTTTTTGTTGTACAAAATTCATTGATGTTCCGTTCTATTATATTTTGCCTTCAGAAAAGAAAAAAAAATCAAAAATAAACTTTTGTGTATTGCAGCAACCAGTGTGTCTTCTTATGTCTCCCAACCTTAAAAGTGTTGGTGTCCCAAATAAATCTGTGGGTTTACATTTAATTTATTAAGGACCCAGATCTTCTGAATGCCCCACAGTGGTTTTCTTTGCTGACGAAACTCATCTCAGCAGGCCCTTTGGACCCCTACAGTCATTGGCTTGGAAAATAGAATGTCTTTGGCCCAAAAGTACCACCTTTTTCAGCCCCAAACTGTTGGTCTTTGTAGGCCAAATGCACAGAAAGAGCTTTCCACAAAGAAGGACAGGAGGCATGAATGAAACAAAATTCTTCATGAGAATATGCCGTGACAAGTTGTTCCAGTTCAGAGATTCTACTCATTGAATAGAACTCAGTACTATAGTTTGGTTTTGTTTTATGAAAATTTGTTGTGAGAAGAAAACTTTTGATGAGAATCTACAGACCCAACAGTCTGTTGTATAACCTGACTACTTTTCAGAGTTGCCGTTTTTAAAATGTTCTCTCATAGGGGTACTTTTTTTTTTTTTTAAGATTTTATTTATTTATTTATTTGAGAGAGAGAATGAGATAGAGAGAGAGCATGAGAGGGAGGAGGGTCAGAGGGAGAAACAGACTCCCTGCTGCGCAGGGAGCCCGATGTGGGACTCGATCCGGGGACTCCAGGATCATGACCTGAGCCGAAGGCAGTCGCTTAACCAACTGAGCCACCCAGGCGCCCAGGGGGTACTTTTTTAAAAACAATTTTTGTATCCTTGATGCTTAACTGTAAGCGTTCTTTGAGTATTTTCGTGATCTGAACCAGAATGGTCATTTGTCCTTACCACCTTTGAAAGCCTACGATTCACACCTGCTGAACATCTGGCTTTACTTAAGCAAAAGAAGAAAAATAAATAACATTGAATCCTCCATCTGAAGTGAAAAGTACCTCTATTTAAAATCTCAATTCAGTGCTTAAAAAAAAGGACTCCTTTACAGTTTGTTTTCCATTTTATTTAGAATCCTGAAACTTTTCCCATGAGTGTTAAAATAGGCAGTGTGCGGGGAAGGCACCACCACCACATCTTCCCAGCTGGACTTCCTGCTGGCTCCCGTCCTTCATCCAAGAGCAAAGTAAGTGGCCAGGTAATGTTTAGGCGCACAAGGGCTTCTCATTCTTTTGGCAAGTTTCTCTTTTCTTTTTTTTAAAAGATTTTATTTATCCATGAGAGACAGAGAGAGAGAGGGAAGCAAAGACAGAGGGAGAAGCAAGGAGGCTGATGCGGGGCTCGATCCCAGGACCCTGGGATCATGACCAGAGCCGAAGGCAGACGCTTAACGACTGAGCCACCCAGGCGCCCGGCAAGGGTTTCTTTCTACTGTATTTGTGCAAAGCCCTGATATGCAGCTGGCTCCTGCTCTGAGGAAATTATCTTGGGAGAGGTTGAATTCCTATATCCACACCAGTAGTGCTGCTCTTGGGGGCAGTGACTGTGTCTGCTTTGTTTGCCTCTTTGCTTCTTCCCCCAACAGAAATCTTGAGCTGAAGCGGGTGTTCAAATGATATGTTGAACAAATTGAGGCAATTCATGATAGGCGCAAATAAAACTTGATTCATAGTCTGAGGAAAGGGGTTGGTTCCAGCAGAGAAGGACCAAGGAAGGCTTAGAATTGTACATTTGGGCTGGAAGAAAATGTAGTAATTATCTAATACAATTATTTGATTTAACAGATGGGAAAACCAAAGTCCAAAGAGATTTCGACCTGAGTTGGGACTCTAGACTGCAATAAGCTTTAAGTGAAAGTTTCCAGAGCCTGTAGGCAATAGCAAGTGGAAATGGCCTAGTGTGAATTGTTGTTAGAAACCCCAGTTGCAGGAGATTCAGCTAAGAAATGTAACACACGGATTTAGAAGCACCTTGTGAATTTAATAATTAGGACTTTAAAGCGATTTCTTGGAAAGGGGAGGCAAAAATTAGACTTTGAGGGGGAAAGGGAGTGAATGGGAGAGGTAAAGGTGGAGAAAAGATGGGGACAGAATGAAGACACAGGGATAATAGAGATTGCTGAAGGAAATGAGTCCATGGTCCATGAGAGGAGCTAATCAGGTGAGGAGGAGGAAGGCTTCTCTAAACTTCTGCCAACTTAATAGACTTTTCCCCTTATAACCCAGAGTCACTCTTCAGACAGGCTGTGACCCCAATTGCTCCCTTTCCTCCACATCTCTGTTCAACTACTCTGCTCAACTCTTGAGAGCAACCAGGACTCATTCTTGCTGTTCTGGTCTCCCGGGCCTGGATACCACAGTGGTTGCTGTCTTTTTAGCTCTTGCCTTGTTTTGCTGCCCCTGAGGACAAGCATTCAGGCCTTGCTAAGGGTTTCATGCAAATTTATGGGGAGGCGGGGCCAGAGCAGCCAATATGGCAGAAGAGTTTTTTTGTTTGTTTTTTTTTAAAGATTTTATTTATTTATTTGAGAGAGAGAGAATGAGAGACAGAGAGCATGAGAGGGAGGAGGGTCAGAGGGAGAAGCAGACTCCCTGCTGAGCTGGGAGCCCGATGCGGGACTCGATCCCCGGACTCCAGGATCATGACCTGAGCCGAAGGCAGTCGCTTAACCAACTGAGCCACCCAGGCGCCCCGGCAGAAGAGTTTTTAAGATGATTACTTTTACATGATTCTTACACTTTTCGCCCAAGGTCCACGGTTCCTGTCTTCTTGCTGAGATGGCAACTGGAATCCAAGTTGCATTCCTGCCTTCTCCTTTTATTTCTAGATGAGGGGACATCAAAATCCATTCTGATGGGCTTTCCTCTATGAGGATCCTTCCTCCCAGCAGAACAATAAGTGTCCCTTAGCCTCAACTTGTATGTGTTTATTGGAATACAAACGCAAACCTTCTAAGTTAAATACTCACAAATTGAATCTAGCAATGTATATAGGAAATAATACAATATGACCAAATGGGAATGCTCTTTAGGGTTTTTTTTTTTTTAAACTTCTTTTATTAGTACTTAATATCAAAGTCGTTTTGCCTTTAAGAATTGGGGAGCTTTCCATATTTTTATATGGCCCAGAATGATTAAACATTGACATTACTTGCTTTTCAAGAATTAGATAAAACTCAGGGGAGCCTGGGTGGCTCAGTTGTTAAACGTCTGCCTTCGGCTCAGGTCATGATCCTAGGGTCCTGGGATCGAGCCCAGCATCGGGCTCCCTGCTCTGCGGGAAGCCTGCTTCTCCCTCTCCTACTCCGCCTCTGCTTGTGTTCCCTGTCTCGCTGTGTCTCTCTCTGTCAAATAAGTAAAATCTTTAAAAAAAAAAAAAGAATTAGATAAAACTCAGATGTGAAATACCTGATTTTAGTGCTTTGTTAATGATAGATCTTTGATCACCGTTTTATTATCTGCAGTGGTGATTGGTCTGTGCAAATATTCCACTTCTTAAGTTTAGTTGGTATTTTTCTAGGAAATTACCATTTTCTCTAGGCAGTCAAATGTGTTACCACAGAGTAACACATACACACATATAATTATATTATTTAATTATACATTTAATATCCTCTGTATCTGTGATTATTTCTTTCTTCCTTTCTAATTTTATATGTCTGTTCTCCTTTTTCCCTCTTTATTCAGCCTCACAAAAGCTTATCTAATTAATTCTTTCAAAGAAACAAGTTTTAGATATATTCAACTATACTTTTTGCCTTGTATTTTAATATTTTAAGCTTTTATCTTTATTTGCTCTTCTTGATTTCCCTTGTGTAGAAGAATTAGAGTTTTTCTAATTTCCTCTGACAAATACTTGGTTTATTTTTATTTTAAGAAAAAGGTATTTAAGTTTATAAATTTTTCTCTAAGTGTAGATTTCTTGTCCATTAGATTTTGCTGTGAAGTGTTTTTTGTTCTTTTCTAGAAATTTCTGTTTGGGTTCCTTCTTGTCCAGGAATGATCACACTTGGGCATTGCCTAATAATTGGTTCTCCATTATGGCCTTCAACGAATTTATTTTTAATGTTACTCTGCAATATCTAATGAGAACAGCAAAGATATTCAACCACATGCTCCCAAATAGAGTAAACGCTAACACCTTACACCCATGGACTACTAAGTAAACTTTGATCTTTCTTTCCATTATTTTTTTAAATTACATCTTTCTTCAATATGAAACTTCAGAGGCTATGTTAATATGTTTAAGACATGTTTATGTTCCTTCCACTGTTTTGTACTGTTCCTCTCCTCACCCCGTGACCATGCACTTCACCAACCTAAAACAAATCTGTGCTGAGTCACAGACTACTTGAAATTTAAAAGGGAAGGGGACTTGAAGGAACTAGTCACGCTGTTCTGGCTTTTGAGGATCAAAGACGGTTAGGCTGAACAGACAGGAATTGGCTGCAATGGAAATGTCCGGCAGAGGTGGTGGCTCCCTATCCGGAATGCTCTGGAGAGCTGCAGGAGCTTGGGGGACAGATGACCTTCAGGTAGTGTCTGTGTCTCCTCCAGGGTACTGTCTATAATTCTCTGGCAGGTGCAGAGAGGGTAGAAAGGAAGCAGGTTCTCTTCCCCTCCTTTTCCAGCTTGTCTCCTGTTATGTCCAGCCCAAGTCAATGTCATCCTCCCTTGGGTCCTCAGCCTAGAAGCTTGTGTGTGACCAACCTTAGGAAGAAAACCTTTG